AGCAAATGCAGTCAGTCAGATGCAACGTAGAACTTCGTACGTAAGTACATCAGTTCATGTCGCCATACCACATCAGCACAGAGATGTAATTGTCAATTCAAATCCAATAGTAGAAGAGGTAGTGAAGGTATTAGGAGTAATCGGAGAGGTTAGGATTAGAAGATATTATTCAAGAAGTATGATTCAGTGAGAAAAGTTTAGAAAGTCAAAACTAGAGGGGTTTAAGAGAACACAAAGAATAAATGCACCGGCGCCATTGCAAACGATTTTGAGCCATGTCATTCAAGGTCTCTAACCATCGATTATTATCATCTCGCCGACCCCAACCAGGTAGTCGACAATTACCGACATGGCTAAGTCCACTCGTCAATGACTTCATGGATTTCTGCCATGTTTTGGTTTGGCCGCACCTAGCTTTCTTCCAACCTATTCCTACACTACAAAACAAAGCTCGACGAGGCAGTCGGTGGTTGGGCATATGCAACACATGTCCCAACCACCTCAACTTATGAAGTTTCAGTACTTCATCTATTGATCTGCCATTCTTACCTAGCACCCGTGTCCAAGGACCAGCGTTGCTCACTAGGGTGTCCCACGATGGGGAATACGAATGGGCATAAAGCTGATTGAGTTGTTTCCATGATAATCACAACCAATGGTTAAAGTTGTCGTGACGTGGCTCAGAATTGACTATAATAGCTGAGGTATACACATTTTTTTATCTTTTTCCTTATCTTGAGTTTTAGTGATCCTTTCATGCCCCCCTCCATTCTTCCTGTCTTTTCGAACTATCTCCTCAGTATGCAGTTTCGCTCATTATCATTATTGTACTAGATTATTTCGGTTCCTTTTCTATCTGTCTTGTTAATTTAGTCTCGTCGTGCTAATGTGGTGTGGGTAACTTGATCCAACGCACACATGTCCCCTAGGCTCAGTGCCGATGGCCTGGTGACTGACGAAATCTCAGCTCGGATACAGAAGGCTCGATTGGCTCTTGCTGACCTGCGTCACTTATGGCGTAGGCGAAATATCCGTTCGCTCCATTCTCCTATATGGATGCGAAACATTGCCAGTGAGAGTAGAAGATATTCGTAGTTTACTGTTTTACGTTCATAGGTGTCTTCGAAGAATTGCTCGTATATCCTGAGACACCCGGGTGAGCAACGCTGTTATTAGGAAAAGGGTGCAAGGTGAGGATGGCAGATCAGTCGATGAAGTGGTGAAACTTCATCAGTTGAGGTGGTTGGGACATGTGTTGCGTATGCCGAACCACCGACTGCCTCGACGAACTTTGTTTTGTAGTGTAGGAATAGGTTGGAAGAAAGTTAGGGGCGGCCAAACCAAAACATGGCATAAATCCATGAAGTCATTGACGAGTGGACTTAGCCATGTCGGTAATTGTCGACTACCTGGTTGGGGTCCGCGAGATGATAATAATCGATGGTTAGAGACCTTGAATGACATGGCTCAAAATCGTTTGCAATGGCGCCGGTGCATTTATTCTTTGTGTTCTCTCAAATCCTCCAACCCCTCTAGTTTTGACTTTCTAAACTTTTCTCACTGAATCATACTTCTTGAATAGTATCTTCTAACCTTAATCTCTCCGATTACTTCTAATAATTTTACTACCTCTTCTACTATTGGATTTAAATTGACAATTATATCTTTGTGCTGATGTGGTATGGCAACATGAGCTGGTGTACTTACGTACGAAGTTCTACGTTGCATCTGACTGACTGTCCAATAGGCTCTATGTAGATTATGACTGTAGACCAGTATGTACTTGCTTTGTTTATATTTGTGCTTTAAACTGATGTTGTAATTTGACTTATATTTGTATAATATTTTTTAAAACATATTCATGTCACGTCATTCGATTGAAAGAGAATGGATTAAATCTACACATGTTGATGAATTTTTTATCGTACGTATTCAGCGCTAGTGAATCATTGTGAAACCAACCATAAGTTTGTTAAGTATCTTATAAAGCATAATCAACACAAGTGTTTATTATGCTTTTGTGTAATTATTCTAGCATTTGTCTAGTGTGTGTTCAGTTTATTCGTTTGCTTGATTGACATTAAATAAAGACAAGTGTTTTAGTATTATAAATTTCGTTCCATACAGTCAGTGTTCGGTAGATTTTTGGCTCATTAATTTTTTACCGATGTAGGTTTCTGTTGTGTTCGTCACTAGGTACGCTTGAAACTATTACGGGTTCACCTTAGTCGAGAAACGCGAACGACACAATGAACCAGCGTCCAGGTAGGCTACATTGAATCCCAAGCTGTAAAACAGAAGTCTTGGTAAGCGTAGAAAGTACATTCTACAAACACCCAGCAATCACAATACAATCAAGCACACAACTCTCGTTTATTTATACATCATAGAAACGTCCTTGGGATAGTCACAAAAATAGCACACTAAAATACACAGCAGCCAATCACAGCCATGGATTTTCCTGGTGGGAAATGAAATCTCAAGGTCAACTGATCAGCCCATGCTGGCAAACGTGAAATCCAAAATAAGGCATTTATCAAGCGAGTTCTGGGGATCTAACATCCCCAACAGTTTCCTTTCGAACAAGTAGTTACTTACTGCTCAGTTCGTTCTTGTCAGCTCAGATGTACTCTGGCTTCATGGTTGTTGTTATAAATATCTTTACGAATTATAGAATAGATCGAGCAAGATTAGTAGTAAAATCTAGGATGCATTGGTCATCATATTTAGGGTTCGTCAACAGGATGTACATTACTTCGAATATTGATGTATACACGGGGGACTCGAACTTATTGTCATTCATTTCGGATTGTCAATACATTATCCTTCAGACTCCCTAAGTCCAGATAGTCGCTGAAATGTTTCAATTGTTTTGATAGGTGTTAACATATTCTTAGCAATCAAGATTAATTGAAACTCAGTCAACAGTATATCAAGAAACCTAACGACTTAACCACAGATCAATGCACATATGTTTACCAGTTATTCCTTAATTTTTAGATTGTTATTGTTCCTTGTGGTATTACTGCAAAAACAACTGTACAAGATAAAGAAACTCTTTTATCTGCTGCCAAACCTGTATATGAATTATTAACAAAGTCTAATAATAAACAATTTCGTGTACATTGTGATGATCGAGACAATGTATCACCTGGATGGAAATTTAATCATTGGGAATTGAAAGGAGTTCCAATACGTTTGGAAATTGGTCCACAAGAAGTAGCTGATAAGAAGGCTTGTTTAGTTCTACGATGTAATGGGGAAAGAGTAAGTTTCCGTTTTTTTTCTTCTTCCGGGTTCGATTTTATGGATTATACGAATCGTGGATTAGTTGATTTTATTTCAAAAGACATTGATTACTTGTACAACTGAGCACCAAAATACTTATTCTCACCAAAAGTGCCATATTCGCCAATGGTCGATTTCGTCTTGGTTATGAGCGATATTCGTTCATATAATAACTGATTTAAATAGGTTGTTGTAAGCGTTTAACACAGAGAATATAGTCTCGTTAGGCAAGCAGACATTTTACTAAAACTTGGCCAAAATCCATGGAGTCACTGTCAAGTGGACTAAGTCATGTCGGTAGGTGTCGACTGCCTGGTTGGGGTCTGCGAGATGATAGTAATCGGTAGTTACAGACCCTGAATGACATGGCTCAAAACAGTTTGCAGTGGCGTAGGTGCATTCATTGATTGTGTTCTCTCAAATTCTAACCTTCTATATCCCTCATCAATTTATCTTTTCCTTTTTAAGTTTATTTCACTAGATTCTACTTCTTGAATAATATCTTCAAAACCTAATCTCTCCGATTACTGCTAGTATTTTTACTACCTCTACTACTATAGGATTTGAACTGACAATTGCGTCTCTGTGCTAATGTGGTATGGCAACGTGTACTGATGTAGTACGTACGTACGTACCTAGTTCTATGTTGCTATTGATTGTTAGATTGAAGCAGACATTAGAATATCGAAAGGGCTAATTACTACAGATCTGTTTATTGCAAGGACTAAATGATTAAGTAATTGAGTGTAGAATGACAGGAATAAAATGTACCATTCTCGTCTCTACACATCTTTTCACTGAATACTTGATTAGTGCGAGTAAGGAGAGATAGTTTCTTTGGAGGGTAATGTTAAGTTCGTTTGCATTCTCTGTCTTTATTCTTCGATAGTGAATGGCAATCTGTCTTTCAGGGTATTTGCACTTGACAGTGGTCATTGCACGGTAGTCTGTGTTTAACATTTTATCTCTAGAATCACTTTCATTCATGGGAATTTAACAGACTTTTTTGTGCTTATCTTCCGAAAATTCGTGATCAAGCTTTTTGATAATGTCGCTCTCGATAAATCCTTTTGCTTCTAAACACCTCACAAAAATGGACATCCTATTCACTTGACTTGACAGTTAACGATGTAACAATCATCAAAAATCATCTACTATTTTCATAAGATTCCTCGGTTCACACCGACTTCAGTGAAACAAGTAATTTGATTGCTCTTCAAGTTGTTTTAGTACTTCTCTTACCCTGTTATAACATTCTCATGTAATTATTCTTTGTCTTTCTTAAAGATGATTTCATTGTGTAAAAAACACTTATCTCCATAACTTTGACTCAAAATATCGTAAATCGTGCTCACTAGTGACTACTAGCTCCGTGAGGAAATTCTCGTAGTTTTAGTGCGAAGATGCGACCAGTAGAGTTCAACCCATTTGGGTGTAGTCAGTAACTACCAAAGACAAATAGGTGAGGTTGCGCAAAATCTCTAGATTGATCAGAATTAGACACCAAGACCGTTAGATACCGACTCAGTGGTCCAGGGTCCTGGGTTCGAATCCTGGAGGGTGCAGCAGTCGTAGGTGCTCACTGCCACTGATGAATCACATACCAGGAAGAAACGGCCGTCCAGTGCTTCCAGGTTTGTAATGATGGTTGATTATCTCAGTGTGCAAAAAAACACTAATCTCCATAACTGAGAAAATTTCTTAAAGATATCGATTTTATTTGCTGATATTTACATTACCAATAATTGAATACAATAATCTCTTTGTACTTTTTTTTTAAAATTCCTGATTATGTAAATGGCAGATAAATGTACCAATGAATTCCCTGATTGATGAACTACCTCATATTCTAGATGATGTTCATAATGCAATGTTTAACAAAGCGACAAAGTCATTAGCCAGTCATGTTGTACCTGTGAATAATATGAGTGAATTGTGTATAGCTTTGGATCAAAAATCACTTGCTTTAGCTCCATTCTGCGGTGATGGAGCTTGTGAAGAGGTGATTAAACATGAATCTGCCAGGTATGTTGACTTTGAATTTATTTTCCTAACATTGTTATATAATGCTTTTCAATTGGTTTTAACTGAATAAACCGTTGTGATATCTTTCTAAAATTTGTGTACATGGTTTCATCATCTATTAGCCTCCATTATTGTGCATACTATTTATACACACTATAACCCATTAAAATTATGAATCGATCATTGTTAGACCAATATTAGAAACCTGGAATCACTGAAAGACAGCCGATTCGTCCTGGTATGGGACTCATCAGCAAATGCGCATTCACGACTCCTGAACCTCGCAGGATTTGAACCCAGGAACCAATAGTGGTCTAACATTGATCTATTCATGATTTCAGTGAGTAACTTAACAATCTTCGCAACCCCGTAATGCAATTACCAGTGCTAACTAGTCACGAGCTCCGTGAGGAATCTTCTCCGAGTTTTATTTGACAGTCGGAACCAGTGAGGTTCAACCTGTCCAGGTGTAGATAGTAACTACCTAAGACAGTGTATGAGGTTGCGCAACTCCGTGTATTTTT